TACATGCATATATATAAAATAAAATAAAATAATAAATAAAAATTTTAAAAAACTTTTATACAAATAATGTTATCATTGATCTCATAGTAGCATAACTCAGTCAAAAGTTCATATGGTGACTTTTGTATTTGGCCAAGAGAGAGTAACACCGGCAGGTTTACCTTCTTTCCTATAATAACCAAACCAAAATAAGACATGTATATATATATATGATGGTTTCAAAGCACTTGACAATGAATAAAAGACAATGCTCCCTGAAAGGCAGAAAACAAATGAGATGGGCTCTATCACTGACCAGTTTACTGCCTTGAGAGTTTCTAGGTCACAGCACAGGGAGGGGGAACCTAGATAGAAACCTGAGTTGAGGAGACAAAGCTGAGAATCTACAGAGACCAAGGGAGCTAGTTTACAGAAGAAAGTACTAGTGAGCAGAGAAAAACAAAAAACCTATGGCCAGCTCATCTGGTAAAGATGCTGGCCTCCAAGCCTGATGACCTCAGTTGGAGCCTTGGAACACACATAGTGGAAGGAGAAAACCAACTATAGCAAGGTGTCCTCTGACGTCCACATGCGCTGCCCCCACAATACACACACACACACACACACACACACACACACACACACACACACACAATAAAATAAATGTAATTTTTTTCATCTAAAAATTAAAAACCAACCCCCCACAACCCTACAATTGTACATGAAGCAAAATATATTTTAAAAATAAAAGGATGGCAAGAGAGATGGTTCAAAGGTTAATAGCACTAGCTGCTCTTCTAGAGGATGCAAGTTGAGTTCCCAACACCCACCTGATGGCTAACAACCATCCGTAACTCCAGTACCAGGGGATCCAATGCCCTCTCTGGCCTCTATGGGGATTGCACAAATGTGGCATATTTATATACATGTAGGCAAAACACTCATACACATAAGATATATAAAGTTTTTAAAAAACAAAGGAGAACATTTCAGACATACAAAAGCTGAAAGACTCAACCAGCACACATGTATTAAAAGACATATTAGAGTACTGGGTATGACAGCACACACCTATAATCCCATCACTAAAGGGAGAATGCAGGAAGATTCCAAGTTTAAAGCTAGCCTGGGAAACAGCAAGGCACTGTTTCAAAGTTAATTAATTAATGGCACTTCAAGTAAAAGGACAATGAAACCAGACAGAAACCTACATTTATACAAAAGGATGAAAAAAGAGAAATGGAAAATTCGCAAGAATATATGATTATTTTATTATTTAATGCTCTTTAAAAGTTAGTTGACTAGGGGCTGGAGAGATGGCTCAGCAGTTAAGAGCACTGACTTCTCTTGCAGAGGACTTGGGTTCAATTCCCAGGACCCACATGGTGGCTAACAACCATCTGTAACTCCAGTTACAGTAACTCTTCTGACCTCCACAGGGACTGCACAATATAGATGCACTTACACACATATAGGCAATACACTCATAACATAAATAAAAAAGTTAATTGACTCTTCAAGCAAGGATAACAATATGGGATTTTTTTTGACACATGTCAAAGTAAAATCTATGGCAACAACACAGAGGCCAGGGGGACAAAAATCAATATACTGAAGATGCTAGTCTAGGCAGATGTCTTTAATCCCAGCAGAGGGAGGCAGAGGCAGATGGATCTCTGTGAGATTGAGGCCATCCTGGTCTACATAGAGAGTTCCAGGCAAGCCGGGGATACAGGGAGACCCTGCCTCAAAAAAAAAAAAAAAAGAAATTTTTAAAAAATTTATTATTTTTATTTTACGTGTATGAGTGTATTGTCTGCATGTATGTGAATGTGCCCGTGTCATGCAATGCCGTGGAGGTCAGAAGAGGGCTTCAGATTCCTCTGGAACTGGAGTTAAGGATGGTTCATAGCTGCCATGTGGGTGCTGGGAATCGAACCCGGGTCCTCTGCAAGAGCAGTCAGTGCTTTTAACCACTGAGCCATCTCTCCAGCCGCAAAAATAGATTTTTTTTTTAATGCCTGATTGTTGATATTACTGCAAAACAGCTAAATCAGTATTAACAGCGACTACTTACTTGTCTTCCAATTTTTTGCTGTTTGAGTACAAATATTTTTTATAAAACTTTTGATTATTTACAACCACAAACATTTTAAATTAGTATAGTATTTATCAAATAACAAAACATTAAATAATCAGTTGTTTTATAAACTCTTATGAGAAAATCTGTGATTAAAAAAATACTTACCCATGCTGGGTGTGGTTCCTCCTTCCAATAAACCAGAACATAATTCAATCCGACCAGCACCTGTGATAAAATAACACAGAAAAAAGCTCTTATGAAAAAAAATTTTTTTCTAATTACAGAAGAGCCTAAGAACTTGATAAAGCAAAATCTAACTATAAAATTTAGAGTGAAAATATGTTAAATCTCAATTGTACTCTACAACCTTCACGGTGCTACTGATAGCCAAATTTAAGGGTGAAGGCTGTTCTCTTAAAATTTTATATTATAAGGTTGTTAAGCACAGGGAACAAAAACAGTTTTATTCAGGTAACAGTATAATGTTCATTCTCCATCAATAAGAAAGTAACATAATCCTTTCCAAAGTAATCTGCGTTGCCCTAAGCTTTAAAACAAAACACGATTACTTTGGAGTATCTAGATCAAGATAATTTCAAGAATAAAGGAATGTTCATAGTAAAAGAGCCATCAAACTATTAGAGCCATGTCACAAGGTCTTAAGAGCAAGCTTCAAGGGGCTCTCACTTAGCTAGATGTAGTGGCACAGGCCTTTAATCCCAGCACTCGGGAGGCAGAAGCAGGGAGATTTCTATGAGTTTCAGGCCAGTTGGGGCTACAGGGTAACACTGTCTAAAAAAGACTAAAAAAAAAAAGAGAGAGAGAGAGTATCATTAGCCAGAGAGGAGATATTTTAAGTATTTTAAGCATCAATAAACAAAATAATTATGATAGATCAAAAGAAATATACCTAAATCTGGTTTCATAATGGTAAAACAACTCATTGGAGGACAACAAACTGGCGTGTTAATTCTGAAAACTAGTTAAGGACAATGAAGCCAGTCTTCCTCCTTCCTTTATATATAAACCAAATTTCATCACCAAGGGACGAGGGAAGTTGTTCTTTATACTCGTATTCTACCTAAAAAACATGCTAAGCAGGGCATGGTGGTGCACATCTGCAATTCCAGCACTTGCAGTGCTGAGGCAGGATTGTTATGAGTTCAAGGCCAGCCAGGGCTACATAGTAAGTTGGAGGCTAGCCTGAACTACAAAGTGAAACCTTATGTGTCTCCCCCAAGGAAAAAAACAACAAATAACAAATGAACAAAACCCAACCCAAATACATATATACATATATATCCATACATAAAACATATACAAAACATATATGTA